GACCACTGTCTGCCCCATCTTTGGCCTATAGGTCTCCTCCATAGGTGGGAGGAGACAGAGCCAGGGATTAGGCACAGGAAGAGAAATGAAAAAGTGATCGCTCTTACATGAGCTTGGCATGGATTTGATTGACATTAGGGAAGCAGACTCTGGATTCTTAGTGATGTCATTGGCCTTTTCATAAGGGATAATGGTGTTTACAAAGAGCCCTGATGATGCTGAAGGACAAACGTCTCATTTTCCTTGAGTATAGTTGAGCTTCTCTGTGTAGACAAAGAAACAAAAAAAGAAAACACTCAGAGTTCGTAGGACCTAACAAGTGTGCATTGAGTGTACATACACACATGACTTGGGGGGGAGCATGGGGTGGGCATGTAAGTGCCTGTGCCCAAGAGAGCTGGCATATGGGCCATGTCCTGTGCTTTCTTGGGCTAAATGCCTGGGAAGAGCAGAGGATGACAGAGAGAAAGGGGGTGAGGAAGGAAAAGCAGAGGGAAGGGAGTGCTGTCAAAGCGGTTACCCCTGTGCTGAGCTCTGCTGGAAGCCTCTGGAATGATTTGGTTCGGGGATGGGATAGGGACCGTTAACTGGGGTGTTGTCTGCCTCTGCATCTGCACATGCTCACACTTTGGAGTGGCTGCTGTGGTTTGGGTGTTGACTGTTTCCCAAAAGTCCCCATGTGAAAGAAAGGCTCATCTCCAAGATGACACTATTGGGACGTTGTGGAAGCCTAGGAGGGAGTGTCTACTAGGTCTGGAGGCCCCAGAGGGCATGCCCTTGGAGGAGTGTGCAACCCTGGTTCCTTCCTTTTCTCTTTCACTCCCTGACCCCTGGCTGCACATGCTTCCAGAGGATCAAGCAATGGTCCCTCCCTGGACTGGAAGCTCAAAAACTGTGAGCCCAAACTAACCCCTTTTCTCTTTTGACGTTAACCTCAGTGATTTTGCTATAGTAATCCCAAACTGGCGATACAGCAGCTGGCCACACTGCCAGGGGCATGTCAGAGGCAGAGGGTGAAGAAGCCTGTTGGGGGTGATGGGGAAAGCTTGAGGGGGAGCAGTGGGGAGGCAAGGGCTATGTCATTATGATTTCTTATTGTTGGAACTTAAGTGATGGGGGACAAAGTAGCTGTGAGCCAAAAAAAAAAAACCCAACCCCCCCCAAAAAAACCAACCAAACACACACACACACACACACACACACACACACACACAAAAATAAAATAAAATATAAAAAAACCCAAAACCAAAAAACTATGTGACCCATCCTTTTTACTAGGACATATGTTTTCATTGTTGAAACCTCACTCATGAAATTACTAAAAGTGTATTCTATACATTGGTTATGGTCAGGAGAGACCTGGTGGGTTTTGTTCAAGCTTGGAACTGTTTAGACCTGTTCCAAGCTAATTGTAATATCAAAAGAGTGACATTGGCCAGGATCTCTTACATGTTGGAGACTGTACTAGAAGAAGCAGGAGGTCATGAATATAACATGAGTTCTTGTTCTTAAGAAGGCATTGTAGCACAGTGGGAGAGCTGGCTTGTGCCAGTCAGGAGGCAGAGTTCATTTCAGCCCAACCTCTGAGCTGTGTGGCCTTGAATCACCATGTTGCCTCTACACACTTACTCCATTAGCATCAAGACCGGGATAGGAGTAACTTCCCTGCAGGGAGGGCATCGGAATCAGAGGAGACAATGACTGTAAACCGACTCTCAGCCCTGGCGCTTGTTTAAGGTGGTGGCTCTAGGGAGAAGTTGTGAGTGTCCCATGATGTCTGCGCACTTGCCATGTTCCATGCTAAAGGGAGGAGGCTTCCCAGAGAGACTCACTTCAAGAAGGCTGAGAGCTGATTTAAGATGACAAGAAAAGATGAGAGAAAACGAGTATTTTGAGTGAGCATTAGAATGAGAAACGAGTTCGGGCATCTGGCTTCTTAGGAATAGTTCTGATAAAAAAGGAGCACTGCTCGTGTGAGAGAAGGCTTGATTGAGGTCAACCAATATGCCCTTTTCTCCACCATATTTAAGAGATGGCAGCACCCCTCAAATTATTCTATAAATTTAGTTATTGATATTCACTCTTAGTGGGAGATTCTTTCTTGCCTCATTTTTGGAAATGGCTTTTTCAGTATATGCCATGTGGTAGTCTTGACCCAGCAATTCCCTTTTAGCCATCCACCCTTCAGAATAGTTAAGTGAATACAGGCATGCACAAAGGCTTGTTGCTGTAGTCTGTAATAGTGGGAACCTGGAAACCAGCTCACTCCAGGGAACAGGTGTGTCATATTGTGGATTGTAATGACAAACACAGGCTACGATCTAGCAAACATATCTGACCGTTTGACATGTGACATAATGCTGTCATCTACAAAGTTCACACTTGAGAACTATTGGAGTTGTAAAAATGCCTTATATTTAAAAAATTGAAAATGTGCATGTATTTTTGTTGTTGTTGTTGCTGTTTGTTGTTTTTTTCGAGACAGGTTTTCTCTGTGTAGTTTTGGTGCCTGTCCTGGATCTCGCTCTGGACTTGAACTCACAGAGATCCACCTGGCTCTGCCTCCCAAGTGCTGGGATTAAAGGTGTGTACCACCACCACCCAGCTTCCTTATTTCTTTGATACAGCATCTCTCAGTTGATGTGGAGTTAGGCTGGCAGCGTGCAAGCCCTAGTAAGCATCCTTTCTCTCTTACCTTACCCCCAACACAGCAAGTGCTCTATGGTTTTGCATTGAGCTGCACTCATAGATAACCTTGGTCAAATTCCCGTGGGCTTTGGGTTGGATAAGCCTGCTAGAGTATGATTCCAGTTATGTAGATGATGCCAAAGATATTTGCATGTGGTTCCCAAGAGCACCAATGGGAACTACATAATGTTAAACTGAGGTGTAAAGCATTATTTCAAATGAAAGAATATTGTTTGCTAATGTAAAAACGAGTAGGAGTAACATGTATTTTCCTCACAGAAACGGTCTCACTACAGTTTTAACATATATTGATTCCAAATTTTGATTTCTAAGTGATAATACTAATTTTATGAAAATAGCATGGTCACTGCATAAAAGCCTAAATGGGGTTATTCATATCTTGACTTATGGCTATTGATTTAAAATATAGCTTTTAGTCATGATTATTGAATATCGATTTTTCCATTTTCTTATGCTTTTAGATCAATCTCCCTATTCATATCAAAATCAATGTTTGGGTGACTTATTAAAGTTTCCTTTTCTTTTCTAGTCTTTGATCTTCCCTAACTTTTTCTTTTTTCATAAATAACTATTGAATATGTTCTTGCTTTTCACATTTTACTTTCCAGGGTGCTGTGCTGTTTAACTTTGTTATATCGTTTCTGTCATACTCATACCCCTGTGTCTTAGCTGACAGTCCACACTCAGAGTGTCAATACAAGTTTCTTCCTTATGTCCTGAGAGACTGCACTAGGTGTCCCAGGCCTGTGGTGGAAAGGGTTCAGAAGCTGTCTCCACTGCCGTTTTTCCTTATTTTTTCATCTTCTCTGGGGTCCTGTTGAAGAAGCCCGCATCCTAGACTGCTGTGGGATGGTCTTCTGTATGCTGTGAATATATGTTGCTCCCATTGGTTAATAAATAAAGCTGCTTTGGCCTATGGTGAGGCAGGATAAGAACCAGGTGGGAAATCCAAGCAGAGAGACAAGGAGAAGGGTGGAGTCAGGGAGATGCCATCCAGCCGCCTAAGGAGCAACATGCCAGCAGACCGGTAACACCATGGCCATGTGGCAGAATATATATTAATAGAAATGGGTTAATTTAAGATGTCAGAGCTAGCTAGCAATAAGCCCAAGCCATAGACCAAACAGTTTGTAATTAATATTAAGCCTCTGACAGGCGGGCAGGAGGGGTTCGTCTGTCTACACTAGGCAGCCAGGAAGCTGGGGATACTTAGAGTTGCTAATCTCCCCTGGAGCTCGTGGAGGTAAGCAAGTCTTGAGAAGGTAAATAGGCCATGAGAGAGAGAGAAAAAAAAATAACCCTTTTTCTGTTACTGTTGGTTTTATGCGGCACTCTTACCCTATGAGGAAAAGTCATGAAACACAGCAAAAATCCACTATCAAGAGTTTTCTTAGGAGGAGGAAAGGACAGGATGTGATCAGGCCTGCTGGAAAGACACTTGAGGAGGAGAGGGAGGGTACATGGGATCCGCCTTTGAAGGACTACCCCAAGAATGCTTACATGGGCCCACGTGGCTACTCCACATATGCGCATAGATTGTGTGGTCACACTGCATGCAATTTATGTGACTGTGCAGCGCATGGATTATGTAGGTCCTATGACCCGGAAATGACTAGGTGGAAATGACTAAGTGTCTCGCTAGGGCATGCGCGATCATGAGGGCATGGCTAGAATTTCTATCAGTTACAGCTAATGAGATTGTCAAGTTGTGGACAGACAGGGGTTTGCCAGACCCTGGTAGATGGGTGATCCAGGCAGGAGGATGGTTAGAGAAAAGGCACAGGTAGGGAAGGCCATGCCACACAGCTTCAAGTTGGAGAACTCCTGTCTTGTTTCCTTTGTCAAAGGTGACTGACTTGGGATTCAGAATTTCTTTTATTTTTGCCTCAGTTTCCATGTGTGTAAAATGCTAGTGTATATCCCACAAGGTTATTGTGGGGATTTGATGAGTTAATGTTGGAAAGTGTTTATAACAGAAATTGGGTGATGATGGTGTGTGTGTGTTGGGGTGGGGGCAGATATCTGTGGTCTTTGAGTTGAGGGATCATTTTGTTACATATACTTTATATGTTCTATTTTTCTTGGAATTCTTTTTCAGTTCTTGGAGAGAAAAGAACTTCACACTTGCTACATTTAAACACAATTCTTTGTACTTCAGAAACAGTCTCTATTATCTTGTCTGGGTCAAAAGCTTTTCGGTAGTTGTTTTTCGGCTGGGTTTATCTGATGTAACAAAAGGATGGCTAGCCTCTAAGCACAGGTTCTCTTAGCCATTTCTCTCTCCTTGTAGAAAATCAGTGGTGGCTGTCACTGGGCCCTTGGCCTCATGGGCCTTGTGGAAAAGCCCTGGTAACTGTGGAGGGAAGAAGTACTTTGATCAAAGCTCTCCACCAGGTCAGTCTCCTGTTTCTTTGGGCTCTGAAGGTCTCCGTGATGATGTTTAGTCTACCAGCAGAAGTGCTGTGGGTACTGGCGTCTGGGCAGGAGGTCTGATTTGGAAAGCTTGCTTGTTCCTCTTATAAATAAGCCCCACCACAGCCATTCAATAGGAGGTTACCCAGTAGTAACTAGAAGAGATGAACACAGTTCCCCTCACAACTTGGTGCGAGCTGGCTCTGGAAGGATGTCAGCAGGACCAGAGAATGCTCAGGTCTGTTGTGAAGTGGCTGGAGAGCCAAGGCTGGGAGTTCCTGTGGGGACTTCTGACTCAGCAGGGGATGTTGAAGGGACTAGAGGAGAATTAACAAATGCTGAGTGTCTCCTGCTGTATGCTGGAGCTAGGTGATTTGCAGACATTAGCTCATTTGATCTTGGTAATGACATTGTGAGTCAGCTAACTTCACCCTCATTTTCATGAGGAGACAGGGCCTCTGAGCAGCTAAGTAACAAAGAGCATGTCCAAGGTGACAGAGAAGTGTGTGAAAGCCCAGGCACTCTGGGGACTGAAAGCACCAGAGAATATGCTAATAAAAAAGTTATAGGTAATTCTCTATGGGTGAATCCATTGTAACTTTACCAGCACCACCCACCCACCCCACCCCACCCCCTACATAAAAATCAGAGATTTAAAGCCCGAGAGGAGCTTTTTTATTTAGCTCAGCCCCTCATCACACAATGAGCTAAGAGTGAGCCAGGAGAGGTTAAGTGTAGCAGAAGCATGGACACTGTGAGGACAGGGGCTTGCTGCACTAATGAGGGAGACACTCCATGATGGCGGAGGAAAAAAGGCTGGGGTGAGGTGACTTCCTGGTCCGAGTCTGAGGAGGGCCACTCCCGTTTGCACAGCCCTCAGCTCCTTTGTGTTACTAATCTGGAAGCCACTTTGTGCAGAGGGCCTTGGAAATGGCTTCTGGTGAGATAAGGAGAGAAAAGACAAGACAATGTATTTCAGGCCTTGTCTATAAGGCAGGAACTGGGCGGGACATTTTAAACCACTATTCCACTGGCCCCGATTTCCCTGGTTAATGGGTTTCATCAGCACCTAGGTGGATGAAGTTATGTTTATTAGTCTTCTGATCTGGAGAGACGTGTCCCTGTCCTGAGTCCAGTGGAAGTGGGTTCCCTCACTGCCTGTGGCCCACATGCAAGGTACTGGACTCCTGGGCAATGCTGCTTCCTCAGCATTTGGCCATCACCGTCTTCTGTGCAATCTGTATGGTTAGGTGAGTGAGTTTAGAACCACTTGTCAGGACCTGGTCATTCTAATGGCCTAATGGCAGAGACATATACTAGGTAGAGATGAAAAGAATTCTTCTTCTTCCTTTTTTTTTCCACATTGCCTTCTGGGCGTGTTGCATATCCCTCTGTAAAACATGCTGCTGTGTTATACACGGCTCAGACACACGTTTAGTCTGTTTATGCATTTGTCGACAAGCAGTTTTTGTTCTAAGACTGATGGACCCTTAGTAAGAGGCCCTTGCTTTTCTACTGCATCCGGCACAGGCCCTGGCTCTCGGCTGGTTACGCAGAAGTCTTCTGCAGATTTATAGCTTGTCCTGGTTTTCAGCTTCAAGGGTCCTTTAAAGTTAATCCAGGCCTGCCACAGTCCTCAGGTGCCCAGTTATAGGCTTTAAACCTGCAGGAGCAGACCATGTGTATCCCACTCCACTCCCCACTTGCTGCAGATATTAGATTGGACTATGAATCTCTGGGATTTCAAGAGATTCAGACTTAATGACCCAGCTTTGGCTCATGTCTATAAAAGTCAGGGAACCTTAGCTAAGCTAGTCAGCACAACTGGCCGGGAGATCCACAGAGAAATGGGGTCTCAGCTGCAGGGAGGAGAGGGTAGAACAGGGAGATCCACAGAGAATTGGGGTCTCAGGACTCCAGGGAGGAGGGGGTGGAGCTGAGGTACTTCTGTGGGCAGACCCAGAGAAACTGAGGCAGCCCATCAGTGAGGATCCAGCAAGCAGGCTTTGCTCCTGCTCAACCTCACTTTCTCCAAGGACAGAGCAGGGAGCTGGGGGCTTTACTGGATGAAACCTGAAATCATTTTCCCTTCCACTAAAAGGACACCTCATCCCAGTGGGAAGGAGGGAATTAACATTGTGTGAAGTCCTCAGTTTCCTGGGACAGAATGGCCGGAAGTGGCGCGTGGGCAGCGACCACAGTTCAGGCAGATTTGAGGGGCATATGTTCAGACTTGGCCTGGCCACTTGGTGGTTCACGACCTTGGATAGGCACTTCCTCTCTGAGCTGTAGTTGCCTTTTTTTTTTTTTTTTTTTTTAAGTTGGGAGCAGGAATGCCTTAAGTTGGGAGCAGGAATGTGATGAGAACTGAAGGGTGGTGTTTTTGAAGGGCATGGCAGAGGGCAGGGGGTTGGTGTTGTGAAGCAGAAGTGGTTGCATCCATGATATAGGTGAGTAGAGATGCAGAGATGTGAACATGTGACCTCACTCAAGGTTGCCGAGCATTGAGAGTGGGCCAGGCTCTGTTCGCTTCTGCCTGTTGCTGATTCTCAGACTCTGTGAGCTGAGATTTCCCCATTGTTTGTTCTGTATTTTCCCCCTCCCCTGGGGGCTGCCTTTGTCGTGTGTGTGTGTGTGTGTGTGTGTGTGTGTGTGTGTGTGTGTGTGTGTGTGTGTGTAGGGGGGTGAAGGTAGAGCCGGTTCCCCTAAAGCACCAGAAGCAAGACTTGTTGCTCATCCCTACAGAGGTTCATGGATCCAAAGCAAGATCACCAGTCTCCTCACTTAACAGAAATCCTGGATTTCTCACTTGTAGCAGATGGACTCTGTGGCAGGTTGGTTGGACTGTCCTGAGACTCTGTCCACTCCCATTATACCCCGCCCTTTGTCTCCAGGATCCTGCTCACATTCTAGGGCTCTTCACCAATAGAACAAATGGCCTTGAGAGACGTGGAAAGCAGGGAAGTCTGGGTACCTCCTTTTCCTAAGGTAGGAACTGCTTTGTCTTTAGGAAGCCAATAAGACTTGCATTAGCACAGATAGCATTTCAACCGTAATCCACTGTCAGATGGCTTTTGGGTCACCCCCTGCCAATTTGCCTGGTTTTCCACAGAGGCTTAGCTCAGGAAGAACCCCATTGTCCAAAATTAGACTGTTGTGGATTATTTGTACACTGTGTGAGGATCTGTGGCTGTGATTTGGTGTAATAAAAAGCTGAATGGCCAATAGCTAAGAAAGAGAGTGTAGGCGGGACTTTGGGGCAAAGAGAGAACTCTGGGAAGAAAAAAGATGGAGTCGCCAGCCAGATGTAGAGGAAACAGGATGGATGGTATGGAGATGAGGTAACAAGCCTCATGGAAGCATGTAGATTAAAAAATATGAGTTAATTTAAGTTCTAAGAACTAGTTAGGAACAAGCCTAGGCTCAGGCTGAGCTTTATATAATTAATAATAAGTCTCTGTGTTGTTATTTGTGAGCTGGTGGCCCGAAGAAAAATCTGACTACATTAGACTTAGTCTGTCCTTGGTCAGACTCAGGATGCTGTGGGTCTCTGTAGGAGAAGGCAAGTTCTGGCACCTGTGCAGGCAGAAGGGACTACCCATGTCATGGCTTTTAGGTGGTGAGGAAGACCAGAGAGTATAATGGAATGGTGGGATGGCCCTTGTGGGGCAAGTCTGGCACCAGGTTCTTTGTAAATCACACTTGTTTAGTTCTCAAGATGAATGTGTAAGGTATCATTAATTCCTATTTACTGACTAGGAAACTGAGGGTCTGAGATGTGGATGACTAAGATATTTTTTTATTCATTCATTAATTCATTCAACAATTACTTACTGTCTTAGTGTGGGTTCCATTGAAGCCTTGCTGAGGCAGAGGTTTCATTGCATGTGATCTATAGAGGGCTTGTTCTAAGAGGTTCCTGCAAGGAGATGAGGGAAACAGAATGGGCATGGAAAAGAACCAAGCAAGGATGGATGAGGTTCTCGGCCTTCACTGGAATCCCAGGGTTTTTTATAGCAAAAATAATACTGAAGACTTGCCCTATCTAGAGTCAGGAGGCTGGGCTCTTGTGACCCTGTATTCTTCAGTCACTGGCCCTGAGGGTGGTGGTTCAATGTCTCTGAGTAGGCACTCCCTATCAGCCAAAGATGATCCTCAAGAGAGGACCACGGGTATGAGCTGACCCACGCATAGGGAGCTGGAGGTAAGTGTCTAGACACCTCAGTCTGCCTAGATTGAGGGACTCCTGGGCTTCAGGACTTTCTCTTTGGAAACTGCAGGAGTCCTGGAAAACTGGCTTGTTTATACTCTCTGATGATAATGGGGGCAAGTGGGGAGCCAGCCTGGTTTACCACAGTGTTTAAGGCCTTTGTATTACTTTTCTCTTTGCTCTCATCAAATACCTGGCCAGTAGCAACCTAAGGGAAGAAAGGTTTATTTTGCCTCACAGTGCAGGAACTAGAGTCCATCATGGCTGGGAGGTGCCTTGAAGCTGTGGTGGGGGCAACTTGCTCACATCTGGGTGAACCAGGAAGAAGAAAAAGTTTAAATGCTGGGGCCCATTTGTCATCTTCCACTTAGCCAGCTGAGAGTCCCAGCACATAGGATGGTATAGCCCACATTTAGACTTTCCCACCTTGGTTAAACCTCTCTGGAAAAGCCCTGAAAGACACACTCAGAGGCGTGTCTCCTAGGGGGATCCCAGATCCACTCATGTTGGCAATGAAGATTAACCACCACAGTGCTGATGTGTGAAATCTTGCCCATGATATGATACAGTGGTCAGTGGGTCTAGGCCCTGATCCAGATTTGAGTTGCAAAAGCCTCCAAAGGTGACTATGGCTACCCTGGGCATAAGGAATCTCTGGGTGCCCAGGTATTCACAGAAGGAATGCTTGACCAGAATGCAGGGGTGGAACGTGGGGAGGAGACAGCTTTCCCAAAGGAAGCAATAGCCTGTAAAGATGCAGCAGCCAGGAAGGACTTAGCCAGCTGAAGAATCCAATCAACATTCAAATCAGGGAAATCACAGATGTAAAAGACAGAAGCTCAACGAAGGAAAAACATGAAACTCCAAGCATGGATCTGGAACTGCCTTGTGCATTATGTCATTCATGATGAGAAACGAATCGCCAGCGTAGTTTGTAACTCAAAAAGGTTTTAATCTCATAATTGCTGGGCCACTGTTTCAGAGCATTGTAGCAGGGTGGTTCTGACTCAGGGTCTCTCCTGAGGTTGCAGACAAGACATTAACCTCATGGCAGCTGATGTGATGACTAGGGCTGGCGGCCTTACTTCTGCTGTGGCTCATTGAACGGCTGTGGGCAAGGGTCTTCAGTTCTTCTCTGGCTGTTGGAAAGTGGCCTCAGTTACTTACCATTGGCCCCTTCTACAGGTCTGGCTGATTGTCCTCTACCATGACAACTGGCTTCTCTCAGTGCAAGTCACCCAAGAGAAAGCAAAGCCTCGAAGATACACCCTGACATGTCACACTGATTTCCACCAGTCTGCCCATCAGAAGTAAGGTACTAATCCAGCTCCATACATTAGGGGAGAAGAGTCTGACCTCATCTTTGAAGGGAGATATCAAATAATCTGTGAGCATATTTTATATCTACCACACCTCAGAGTTGACTGGACCCAAGGACAGAATGAGTCTGCCATCCTTCTTCTCTTGTCTGGGGTTCTATCTCTCACACTGACGTCTTTCCACACTGGTCCCCTAGTAGTCACATAACAATGCTGCTGGAGGGAGAGTTCCCACAGACCATGATGTCTATTACACGAGGTGGAGGTAGCAAACAACTGCTAAGAAGATGACAGGTGGATGGTGCGATGCCTCCTGGCCGGCTTCCATTCTGGGAGTGATTAGGATGCTGGCTGGTATGGGAGGGCTGGAGTCAGCAGGGAACCACACAGCTGGAAGGATCCTAAGGATGCGATGTCAGAGGCCTCCCATACCACACAGAGGAGCCAGTATCGATTCTGAAGCACCGACGTCAGAACAAGGGCATGGCATGATCATATCTATTTGTGGACTGATTATCCTGGCAGCAATCCAGAGCTGGATTCAAGCAGGCTGATTGGAGACAAGAATGCTGGCTCAGAAATGATTTCAGTGATACAGTTAGAAAAAAAAATGATTAAGAATTTTAAATGTTGTCACTGTGGTAGAATTTTACTTACTCTTGCTTGGGTGTTGGGAGAGGATTCCAGATAGGAAAAATTTCTCGGCCTGTTTATCAGTTACTTGTTAGAATACTGTGGCTGTCCTGTAAAGCCCTCATGGCCCTCATTTGCTTGCTGGGTGTTTACGAGACACTCAGACACATCAGCGGTTAAGCCAAAGGAATGAGTTTGCAATGGTAAAGTGTCAGACATCTTGGCAGGTTGGTGGGGAAGAGATTTTTGCATAGGAAAGATAACTACTTTCTGGCCCTATGCACAAGCTGTCTTCTCCCATGATAATTAAACATTAGGGACCTCTGCTTTTGTATCTTTTTATATTTTATCCTCACAGCCCCTGTGAGGTCGACTTATACGAACATCGAGAGCCTGGCCTTCTGAGGGCGACTGCCAATCTACCTATGGACTCACCAGCAGTTCCAGGCTTAGAAAAACTGGGTAAAGTTGGGCACTATCAGCCTCAGGAAGAGCAATGAGCAATGCCCCAGGCACTCTTCTAAGTGTTTTATAAATAGTATCCCCTTTGAGTCTTACAATGGCCGTTCCAGTGAGAACTACCCGGCACTCACTTCACAGCTGGGGAAACAGAGGCCTGAAGAAGTTAGGCACACAGGACAGTCACCAACTGGGAAAGGGGCAATGATCCTTGTAGTGTTGTACTGTCACACTGTCACAAAGGTTCTGGAGCAGGAGAAGACTTGGATACAGATTTGTGAATGTGGGCTGCTGTATTGTGTGCTGCATCACTGTGTGCTCTGTGGCAGGCAGTGGGATAAGCTTGTGAACTAGCCACCTGGGGACATTTTGTTCTCTATGAGTCCCTAGGCAGGGTTAGGATTTCAACTATTGTCACTGCCCCTTGGGAAATATTTGAGAAGAAATAGGAACAAAAAGATGGGAATAACTAAACCAAAACCAAAACCAAAACAACACATCCCTGGAAAATATAATAACAACAATAATAAAATCAATGATACAATGTTAGACAGGAGATTATAGTAATATGTCATACTTTTTTGCCTCTGCATTGAGAAGAGGCTCTGAAACATTCTTTAGTAAGATCTTGAGAAATCCCAATCCCAGTGAAGTCATTAAATGTAGCTCTCCGCATTTCTGACTGTCCTCCTGGGCATGACAAGGTCACACACACACCTCTTCCTTTGATAACAGATGTGTGTGTGTGTGTGTGTGTGTGTGTGTGTGTGTGTGTGTGTGTGTGTGTGTGTGTGGCTGGTGCTGGAGCTGTGGAACTGGCTCACTTCTCTGCAGGAGACTCTAAGAATTAATGTGCTTTCTCCTTTGCTGTGCTTCCCAGAAGCTCGCAGAAGGTCTGAGCTATGTCAGTTTGTCTCAGGGCAGAGCAGAGAGGGACATTTCACTGATAGAGATATGGAGACACATTTCTTATCACATGGTGTTGATTTTGGGTTGTTACTTCATAATCTATCAGGCCACGACTAATGGATAAAGTCTCCTCGACTAAAAGAGCCCTGTGTTTCCCTGCTGAAGGAATTGGTGTGAGTCTCAATTAGAGGTGATCTAGGGGACAGACATGGCAGCTAGGCTGTGACTACACACATGGTTCACTCCAAAGTCACGCAAACTGAAATAGATTAAAAATGGAAAATCAAAAAGAAGATCATAATGACACTTGAAAGAAGCACGGAGATTTAAGTTTTCAGAGTTTCTCCATCTGTCACAGTTCTCATGCAGAACAGCGACAAAAACAATATGTGACAGATTTTCTTTTCCAGGGCAGCCTTGACAATATCTGCCATCCCGTATGCTCTTCTGCAGAGTGACCTTGGCACGCCTCCATCAAGAGCTGGAGCTCATTCCACATCCTAGTATCTGGGTGCATTGTGGCTGCTTTGACCTATAGGGTAAGAAACATTACTGCCCAGTTCTTCTTTCTTTTCTTTCTTTCTTTCTTCTTTCTTTCTTTCTTTCTTTCTTTCTTTCTTTCTTTCTTTCTTTCTTTCTTTCTTTCTTTCTTTCTTTCTTTCTTTCTTTCCTTTCTTCCTTCCTTCCTTTCTCCCTTCCTTCCTTCCTTTTTTTTGCGGGGGGTGGGTGGGTTTCAAAGACATGGCTTCTCTGTATCTTTGGAGCTTGTCCTGGAACTCTCTCTGTAGACCAGGCTGGCTCGAACTCACAGAGATCTGCCTGCCCCTGCCTCCCAGGTGCTGGGATTAAAGGCATGTGCCACCACTGCCTGGCACTGCCCAGTTCTTGAAGGGGCCTTCAGTTGTTGAGAAGTTTCACCCCCGTCTCCATTTCCTGGCCTTTTGTAGAGAAGTCTGATTGCTCTGAGATTGTAGAGTTAACAGAAGGTCCAAGAAGAATGTTTAGGCTCTAGGATGAGACGCCATCACAGAATCTAATCCTATATCCTGAGGGCCATCCACAGCTGATGTTCTGCAGGCTAAGACGAAGTAACCAGATGAGTTTGTCTCAGGTTCTTAAGATACATAGTCATGAGTGAAATGAATGGCAGAACTACTGTTTGGAGGATAAACAAAAGACGGACAAGCAGACAGCATTATCTAGACACACACACACACACACACACACACACACACACACACACACACACACACACAAAACAACAACAACAACAACAACAACAACAAAACCCAGGTAGTGGAGGGAATGTTAGTTTTCTTACTACTGTTATAAATAACTGCTAGAAACAACTCAAAGGCGAGAAGTTTATTTCAGCTATGGTTCCAGTTCATGATTGCTTCTCTCCATTATTCTCTGGGCTAGATTGAGGCAGACGATGGTGGGGAACGTGTGGCAGGGTTGCTCATCTCATGGAGGCTGGGGAAAAAAGAGAGGGAGAAATGAAGTGAGTAGGGAGTGGCCCTCCTTACAAAGGTATGCCTTCTACAGCCTACTTTCTGTCACTAGCCTCTACAGGCTAGACTCTCTGCCACCTCCTGCGGGAGCACCAGCAGCTGGGGACCAGGTCTTCAACAATGAGCCTGGGCGGGACCTTCTGATTGTCAGCCTAGCTTGGGGCTTTCCCACAACAAACCATGGTCTGACACATGGATGCTTTAGGTGTATCCTCCAGGTGAGCTTAATGAGAAATAAAATACAGCTCGGGGAGGCTGAGGGCCTTGCTTAGGCCACCAGGGCACCCAAGCCACCTACTGCACAAGACTCTTGTCCTGGCTCCTCAGTCTAGTTCTCTCCTCCGAAGGGTCTGGATCCATCCACAAGAGGAAGAACCAGACTGCTTGAACGATGAAAATGTATTTTGTTGTCTTTGTTTCTGTAAGAGCAGATGATAACTCTCGAAGGAATATTAAATAAAAAGCTATAAAATAAGCTCTGCCGCAGGCAGAGCGTTTGCAGGGAAATTTGCTGTGTGATAGTTGTGTTGTTAGAACTGAGTGAAGTAAGGAGGGGAAGAAGCACAGGACTCATCTCTACTGCAGAAGTTCCCCCGCCCACCTGCCCCAGACATTCATATTCTCCAGTTTGAATCTTTATGAGTACACTCAATACATACTATGGCAACGGTCTCCCGACATAAGATAGTTCAACTTATGACTTTTCAACTGTAAGCTGGGATGAAAGCCATATGAACCTGGTAGAAACCATGCTGCACACTTTGAATATCTTTTACTAGGCTAGTCATACCTGACACAATACTCTCTTGTGATGCTGGGCAGCGGGAGGGGGATGCGGCTCCCAGTCAGTCATGCAGTCACCTGGGGGAAACAATGGCTCCCATGTCCTGTGTTGCCAGAGATTATGGTTGTGTTTTGTGTCTCATCGTGTTCCCAATAAATTACATGCAACATTCAGTTCTTTGTTAGACAATAAGCTTTGTGTTAGGTAACTTTATCCATCTGCAAGCTTATTTGATGTAAGTGTCGCAAACCTGTTTAAAGGAAGCTCAGCTAAGCTTGAATGTTTGATGGCTTATGTGTCTGAAATACATCTTGGGCTTATAGTATCTTTAACCTAGAATGGATTTACTGGGGGCATAAACCCACTGTAAGTTGAGAATTTGTGTAACCACTACACACTGAAAATGTACATGTGCATGCATTTGAGTTATATAACAACATAATCATTTTATTGAATGAATTAAACTCCTATCATTTCTTTCAAATACAGCCTGTCAGATCTCTTAATTTTCCCCATGATGTTACCTTCAAAGGACTCCATAACTTTTAGTCTCTTGTCAGTTATAATATCTCATTTTCAGGTGTCAAAATAAGTCATCAAATTGAAATACAAATTTTAATATTATATCACACCTCCCTTTGCTTTCCAGTTAGGATGGCCCAGATATCTAGGGATCTTTCATGAGATAGGGGGACCTGGTGACTCCTCTCTTTTCCCAGCTGTCACAGTGTCTCCTTGTACTACTGGCTCCTGAACGAACACACCACGGCCTTTTACTGATGGGTTTCTCCCATGTAGCTGACACTATTTGGAGCAAGATTTCATCAGGGAGACTGGATCTCTCTGAGCCCTATGTTATCCACTTGACGCATCAGAGCTGCACATCCTTGCTCCTCTCAAAGTGGCAGGACAGTGCACCCAACCTGATTTCATCCCTCCTTGTGCCAGCTGGGTATACATGATTTTCCAAGCAAGAATCAGTCATGTGTCTCTAGACTGACTATGTCCAGACTCACAGAGGAAGTTATCAGTGTCTCATTCTCCCCTTTGTAGAGGGATCAACTACTGGTACAACTCATGCTATCACAAACCACTCCCAAACTCAGCAACGTGTAACTGTGTGCATTTATTCTCATCATCACAGGTTCACTCTAACCCGTTTGGCAAACTGGCCTTGCCAGAGCAGCATTGCTGAAACTGTGGTTCTAGCTGGTCTTGGCTCTTCATGGCTGGGCTCAGATCTGATCTGTGTGTACCCCATCTAGACCAAAGGTAAGAAGTGACAGCTACCCCATGGGAGCGGTGCCTAGGAGATGACAGACGTGCAAAGGAACAAACCTAACACTTCATACACAACTTTAGCCTCTGCTCACACCACACGTGGCTTTGCCAAGTCCTATGACTGTGTCCAGGTCCCATGGATGCAGTGGTGGGTGTGTTTTGCTTGCTACTAGGCTATAGAAAGACATCAGGTGTAGCTGGAGTTTTCCTGCCTGGCCCACAGTCAGGACAAATCTCTCTCACCCGCCAGTCCCACAGCCTCTCAAACCCGATCAAGTAAACACAGAGACTTATATTGGTTTCAAACTGTATGTCCATGGCAGGCTTCTTGCTAACTGTTCTTACAGCTTAAATTAATCCATTTCTATTAATCTATACCTTGCCACGTGGCTTGTGGCTTACCGGTACTTTACATCTTCCTTGTCCTGATGGCGGCTGGCAGTGTCTCTCTCATCCAGCTTCCTGTTCTCTCAATTCTCCTCTCTGTTAGTCCTGCCTATACTTCCTGCCTGCCCACTGACCAATCAGTGATTTATTCATTGACCAATCAGCAACACATTTGACATACAGACCATCCCACAGCACTTCCCCCCCATTTTTTTTCAAAAAGGAAGGTTTTAACCTTAACAAAGTAAAATTACATATAATTTGGGAATTTGGGTGTAGCTTCTCTTACTACTTCCTGCTGGAGGGGGGCGCTGTATCTTATGGGGATACAAAGAAAATTTTAGAATTATGGAATAGTCCATGAGGGTGTATTGTCTGAGCCAGTTGCCTTCAAATCATTCTGGATGTTGGATCATCTGGGCCATGGTGTCATTGGAGATCTTTCAGGGGGTCTTGGCTGGTCAAACCTGATGTATCTTAATCTGGAACAAATCCATAGCCTTTGGCTTTCCGTGGGAACAAAAGAGACTCTTTTCCAAAGCAACATATCCTTATATCCAAATTTTGAAGTCAAGGTACCTTTAAAATATACATTTTGGAGCCGGGCGGTGGTGGCGCACGCCTTTAATCCCAGCACTCGGGAGGCAGAGCCAGGTGGATCTCTGTGAGTTCGAGGCCAGCCTGGTCTCCAAAGCGAGTTCCAGGAAAGGCGCAAAGCTACAGAGAAACCCTGTCTTGAAAAACCAAAAAAAAAAAAATATATATATATATATATACATTTTGGCATAACTCAACAGCTTTTACAATCAAATGTTTTTCTGCAGTTAAAAATCCCAAAGACAACACAATGCAGATTCTCCGTGTAATATCCATTTTTACGTGGCTTATTTTTTATACTACCTTTACTGTCTCTTTAAAGACTTTATTTTTTAAAACTATGTATTTGTTTATATAACTGTATATATCACCTTTTTTGTCTCTTTCAAGCCTACGTATATTTTACACACATTGTAAACTATTACATCTGAATCTGTCTTACTGTGAATCTATTGCTTTAAACTGCAGCAGCTGTGGCTGCTGGCTCCACCCACCTCAGTTTCCCAACATGGCGGTGGTAGTTTACCACCAGCTCTGGGAGCTATAGTGGGTCTATGCTTTTATCAAAGCAGCGTGTAGCCCAGAAACCTCTTTTTGTTTTGTACTAGCAAAGGCTAAATCCACCACGCAGCTTAATGTGCCACTTGCAGAAGCCTCATTCCCGCCATACTGCAGGTCGAGCGCACATGCCAGGAACCCACCAGTAGCTCAGACACGAAGGCTGCCGCTACTTGAAAGACACAACTAGGAACTGTTTTTAGTTCTGTTTTAGAATCTTTTTTCTCAGTTTTTAGGTGGAAACTCTTGCCACCACGTTGGACGCCAATCAGGAGAAAGAACACCCCTGTGGAAATGGCTGGAGGAGGGAATATTTTCTAACAGAAAACTAGTTGAGGACAATCCCGCCATCCTGGGGTAGGAGAGGCTTCCAAGCATCCCCTCTCTTCAAACATTTCTCCCCTGCCCATCTTGAGGGGCCACTCCTGTGCCTCCATTTTGAAGAGAAGGAGGAGGCAGGGTCCAGTTTGTGTTCAGGGAACGGCTTCCGTGACTCATCCTCTTGTATGTAACCGGGTGCTGGATTTCAGCAGGTGCTGTATGCGTGTGTTCAGAAATTCTCTTGAAAATGAGTGTCTACATAGCATTTCCTTTCTCAGCTTTGGAGCTTTATCGAACCAGGGGAAGAATTCTAGCCAAAGGAAAAGCTTGGTAGGATTGTAGTAGATTTTCCTCCCATACTGTCTGTTCTCTTGTCTGTCTGTCTGTCTCTCTCACTTCTTTACATATTTATTTATTTTATGTCCTGGCCACAGTTTCCCCTCCCTCCTCTCCTCCCATTTCCTCTCCCCTCTGCCCACCCTCCCCAATCAATTCCTCCTCTGTTTCTCTCCAGAAAAGGGCAGGCCTCTCATGGATATAGATATCAGCCAAACATGGCATATCAAGCTGCAGTAAGACTAGACATCTCTTCTCATATTAAGGCTGGACAAGGCAACCCAGTATGAGAAGAGGGGTCCCAAAAGCAGGGACCACTGTTAGGAGTTCCACAAGAAGACTGAGCTACACAACCATAACATATATACAGAGGGCCTAAGATCAGACCCGTGCAGGCTCCTTGTTGGTTCAGTCTCTGTGAGCTCCTTTGAGACTTGGTTAGTTGATTCTGTGGATTTTCTTGTGATGTCCTTGACCCCTCTGGATGCTACAGTCTTTCCTCCCCCTCTTCCCCAGGATTCCCCGAGCTCTACCTAATGTTCTGCGGTAGTTCTCTGCATCTGTTTCCTTCAGTTGCTGCATGAAGCCTCAGTCTATGAGTACAGCAGAATATCATTAGGAATCATTTCATTAACTTTTTCTTTTGCCAGTTGTGTTTGGTAATATCCTAGGTCTCTGGGATATCTAGCCTCTGGATCCTGGCCCTCCACACAGTGTCAGGGGTGGGTTCTCTCTTGTGACATGGGTCTCAAGATAGACTAGTCATTGGCTGGCCACTCCCACAATTTCTGTGCCACCTTCACCCCAGCACATCTGGCAGGAAAAGTTGTAGGTTGAAGGTTTTGTGGCTGGGTTGGTGTCCCAGTCCCTCCACAGGAAGTCTAGACTGGGTGTGGGATGACTCATCCCTAACGGGCTTGAGGGCCAGAGGGCTCAAACAAGTAAAAAAGATGCTTTCCGAGAGCCAGCCTGGGTCTGCCTGATGGTCTTAACAACAACAGCTGAAGCATGATCTGGAGATGACCTGCACCAATGAGAGGCAGCCATGTCACACCAGCAGATGCATATTCATCAGACCCCCCCGCCCCCCAGGGTGGGGTGGAGGGTATATAAGGCTTGCCTCTTCCTGAATAAACTGAGCTTGTTGTTTCGACATTCTCCCGGAGTCTGTGTGGTTTGACTCTGCGCCTACTTGGCCCCTGCCCCCAAAGGGAACAACAGCAAGGACCCTGCTACACCTGGTTACAGGAGATGCAGTTCAGGCTCTGTATCCCTGTTGCTAGGAGTCTTAGCTAGGGTCACCCTTATATATCCCTGGGAGTTTCCATTGTACTGGTTTTCTTGGTGAACTCTGAACCCCCCCCCCCCAAATTCCAGTTGTCTATCTCTCCCTCCATCCTCCCCTACCTGATCCCCCTTCAGTTCTTATCCACACCCACTCCCAGTCCACCCATGATATCATTCTATTTCTCCTTCCCAGGGATAGTCATGTGTACCTTCTCCCTCAAGTCCTCCTTGTTACCTAGCCTCTCTGGGTCTGTGGATTACAGCATGGTTGTCCTTTACTTTACAGCTAATATCCACTTATGAGTGAGTACATACCATGTTGTCTTTCTGGGTCTAGGTTACCTCACTCAGGATGATTTTTTTCTAGTTCCATCCATTTGCCTGCAATTTTCATGATGTCATTGTTTTAACAGCTGAGTAATACTCCATCATGTAAATGTATCACATTTTCTTTATCCATTCTTTGATTGAGGGATATGTAGGTTGTTTTTAGTTTCTGGCTATTACAAATAAAGCTGCCATGAACATATTAAGCAAGTGTCCTAGTGGTAGGATAGAGCATCCTTTGGGTATATGCTTGTCTTAGTTAGGGTTTCTATTGCTGTAAAGAGACACCATGACCTTGGTAACTCTTATAAAGAAAAACATTTGAGGTGGTGGCTTACAGTTAAGAGGTTCAATCCATTATCATCATAGTGGGAGCATGGTGGTGTGCAAGCAGACATAGTGTTGGCTACATCTTGATCAAAAGGCAACAGGAAGTGGACTCAGACACTGGGCAGTATCTTGAGCATAGGAAACCTCAAAGCCTGCCCCCACAGTGACATACTTCCTCCAACAAGGCCATACCCACTCCAACAAAGACACACCTTCTAATACTGCCACTCCTTATGAGCTTATGGAGGCCAATTACATTCAAACTACCACAATGCCCAAGGGATAACTGGGTCTTGAGGTAGATTGATTCCCAATTTTATGAGAAACTGCCATATTGATTCTCAAAGTGGCTATATAAGTTTTCACCCCCACCAGCAGTGGAGGAGTGTTCCCCTAGCTCCACATCCTCTCCAGTATAAGCTGTCACTTCTTTTTTGGTCTTAGCCATTCTGACAGGTATAGAATCTCAGAATCATTTTCATTTGCATTTCCCTGATGGCTAAGGATGTTGAACATTTCTTTAAGTGTTTCTCAGCCATTTGAGATTCTTCTGCTGAGAATTATCTGCTTAAATCTGTACTTTTGTTTTTTGTTTTTTGTTTTTTTTTTTTTTTTTTTTTTTTTGGTTTTTTGAGACAGGGTTTCTCTGTGTAGCTTTGCGCCTTTCCTGGAACTCACTTGGTAGTCCAGGCTGGCCTCGAACTCACAGAGATCCGCCTGGCTCTGCCTCCCGAGTGCTGGGATTAAAGGCGTGCGCCACCACCGCCCGGCAAATCTGTACTTTTGAATTGGATTATTTGGTTTGTTGATGTCTGGTTTCTTGAGTTCTTTATATATTTTGGAGTTCA